CCAAAAATAATAAGTCCAAAACTTATGCAAAATCAATAAGTTAAACCAAACTTATACATTTCCAATAATGTCTAGGAATCAATTTACATGCACAAGTAAGGTTGAATCCACACAAACCATGTCCTAGAATTCAAGTCTAGATAGCATATGACATGTCAAGTCTCCATTATGCAATTTATATACAAAGTAAGAATATTTTACAACAATTGAACCACATTACCATCCTAAGCCACAAGTACTAAATAAGTTACAATTTAGTAACAAGCTTTCAAGGTAAGCAATTGTAATATTCTAACAAGTTATATACCTACACAAGATATATTTAAACGAGCTATTTAAGACAATGATATCACCTATCATGCTAAGTCAAATTACCATCTTTAGAGGCTACAAGTACTAATTCTACAACAAGTTAGTAGCATGCTCACAAGGTAATCAAACAGACTACATTTCAAGGAATTATCAACCTATTACATCCAATATCAATTTAAGTGACTAACACACTTAAAACAAAATTAATTAAGCTAATTAATTAATTTTTCTCTACATTTTAAAACATATCCAAATATCCTCAATTTAACATATGTTAAACAACTCACCAAGGCCTATTTTAATATCACATTACAAGTTGATTTTATACTTGATACAACTATGTGAATTAATCTTTTACAAAAGATAAATATTAAATAAGTTTTGCAATTCTTATTCAAATGCCCCAAATTTAATATATGTTACACAACTCACCAAGGCCTAATTTACTAGCACGCCACAATTTAATTCTAAACTATATACCATCATTAGAATTAAATCCTAAACAAAGAAAATAAATAAATAAAATTCAAAAAAACTTAAACAAGGCATGCTCACAAGTTGTATATGCTTATAAAACAATCAATACAACAATAATATAAACCTAAGACATCCCTAACCTCAATTTGAGATGAAAATCTCAAAAGCCCACCGAAATGAAACCGTTCCGAATCCGATGAAACTCCTAGGTTTTGTCTAGGACAACACGATCTACATGAACACCCAAGAAGCCCCATCAAAATCATAACTTGACTTCAAACCCGAACTCAACAAATGGTTAGTAATGAATTCTAATAAGGGGGAACGGTAGAGCACGTCGAGGGGAATGATAAATGTTAAGGCCGAAGAGTTTCCACTAAGGAAATCAAGTGGAGGAGAAGAAAGAATGAAGGCAGCCCTTTAGGCTCCCATGGTTGCCGTGCAATAGGGTGAAGAAGATGATGGTAATCTGACTTTTTGACTTAAGACCCCCTATTTATAGAAAATCTCAAAAAGTGCCCTAAAAGGGTCCCGTTGGGTCTGGAAAAGTGGATTTTGAGCAAACGCGCTTAAATGACAAAACTCTATGAATGAAAAAAGATTCTATGAGAAAATATGAATAACGGAATAAACGGCGTTGAAAACCGAGTCCCGAGCAGAGAGATATGCCCTGAATAAGTTCGGCGGCAACCGGGGCCAGAAACCCTGAAACTGGAGAAAAATGACCAGAAGGAAATTCTATGAGTACATGACTCGATGAAATGTGAAAATGAATCCCATACAAGGATCCAGGCTCCAGACGAGATATTTTGCAATAACTTTCGTTAATTGCACAATGGCCCCTATAAAAGGGTTAACTACAAAACTGCCCCAGAATAAAAATATCTTCCAAAAGATATTTTCTTAGATACCCCTGAAATAAAATATCTTCAAAAGATATTTATGAAAAACACCCCAAGAAAAGAAAAAGATTTTGAAAAAATTATGCATCCATGCCACTATGGATACCGGGAGCAACCAGAGTACTTTTCTGCAAAAATAAAGATACGTATTTCGTGGAAACCACTTAGAATGAAGATATGTGAAGTCAAAAACCAACTCCGAACACAAGGAATTAGGTTATGCCAACAAAGCGACAAACGGGGAAAAGACAAAATAGTGAAAAGAACAAAATAGGGAAAAGGATAAAAAATGATTAGTGTCGAAAAACGAAAAATGTGGAAATGACTCGGTCTTCAAAGGAAGTTGTCAATCCAAATGAAAGAGTCTCAGAATCCATTTCCGAGCACTCAAGACGACACTAAGCGACAAGAAACTGAACTCAGAAAAGAAATTTCAATGAAAAAAATTCATCTGTAAAATTTTGAGGAAAAAGAAAAGGAAGGAAATGACCGAGTCATTACACTCAGTCCTTATTTCAACACAAAACAACTTTAGCCTTAAGGTTTGAATACTCAAAATTAAAGCATATCATTTTTCTGTCACAAGCTCAACTTCAACAATCTTGATTCACCAAAATATACTTGCTAGAAGGTTAATTCATCATGGAACAACTAAGAATACTTAAACAATACTTGAATCCAAGATTAAATCAGAAAATCAACCTTAACTATTGATCACACTATTCAAATTCATTTTCAGTATATTTTCAACACAAACACAGTTTGAGTAAGTGTAAATAGTTGAATTATACCTGTGTCAATCTTCAGAATAGTCCACAGCTACTTGAAATAAAATTTCACTACTCAAACCAACCCTTGCACCAGTAGAACTGACAGCAGCAACATCTTCTCAGCAAATACACTAACAGGACAAGATTCAGTGAGTTTTTCTTACATGAGTCATCATCGAAACACTCAAAAAAACTTGTTCATTCAAAGTTGTCGAGAGAATACTAGCTGCAACTCACTTTTCTCAAATTTTCATACGGCTTAAACCCTAAAAGTCACTATAACAACATATTTATTGTGATACTAAATTACACAAGGCCTCACACACCAAGGATATACACCTGTTACCTCTAGCCAATGATTGAAAGAGCATATTTCAGATATTTTCAGATGAGAGGACCACTCACAGCAAGCCACCTCAGCAATTTTGTCACTATGCACACCTGAATTCATACATACACATTGCAAGGCTGTAAATTGCATTTGCCTTTAGACTTAGCCTACAAGAAATGTAATATTCTTATATATACCATCTCTCTAGGACCACTGGGACGTGCAACACACTTGAATGCAAATGGAAAGGACCAAAATACCCTTGTAACAAATTAACTCTTTCACAGCCAGTAGGTAGTCCTAAAGCTGTATATTTCACAATGTAGGCTCAATCAAAGCTATCTAATGCAATGCAACTACCCAAACAAACGTATATCACTGAATTACAACTGAGAAAAGACCGTAGTACCCCTGTGAGCACCTGTAGCTAAGACTGAAACACTGAACCTTCAGTGTCACAGTGATTTAATGACAACAGGCTGAAACATTGCAATGCACTATTGCAGACCACTGAGTACAATGAAGCCCAACACTCTTATAATGATATGAGGTGTATGAAAGTCAGAACAAAAAGGCTCTTTGATTGCAGGAGTATATTTCTCAAATGTTGCAATAATGTTTTTTGAAGACCACAACTCAATATATAGAGTTTCTGATGCATTTGATACACAATATAGCTGTTGGACACATAGTTCTAGATAAAATAGCCGTTTGAATTTGAATTCAACCTAAATCGATCGTTCGAAATGAATGGGGTCTTTATTTCGGTCGTCCGAAATATCTTGAGGTTCATTTTACTACTTTATTTCTATCATCCAAAATGACTGAGGTCTTTATTTCGGTCGTCTGAAATAACCTAAGGTATATTTGACTGCTTCATTTCGGTCGTCTGGTTGTGATCCCGAACTTAGCATGGCTACTGCCCAAGATAAACTAGTAACCGGTCGTCCGGTTCATATTGTCTATGCATTTCGGTCGTCCGAAATGGAACTGCTGCTTCAGAGACTTGTAGTGTATCAATTTGTGTCCCTTGATCATTTAGTGCAAGTGTTGATATGAATAAACCTAAGTTTATGAGCTTCAAGAGATTCATAAATACTTTAATTATTCACCACCTTAGCTACCCTTTTTACATTTGACTTGGCATGATCTTGATAGCTTCTTTTTGAGACTTAATTTCTTTTAAGCTTCTCATGCTTCCCTTCATGTATCTCTCTATGTTATGATGCTCTTTTTCATTTGTGCTTTCCATGTAATGTCTTGTCTTGATGGATGCTGAGATCTGTTATTTAACTCAGGGTAGACATTAGTACATATATAACATCATTAATGAATTGTAATCATCAAAAGTCTTAGATTGAAGGTCAATAAGGTGGAACTACATACAGGGTAGCATTCATTTCCAGTTGTTGGAATAGTAATCTGGTGTGGCAAGTTTCCCTCGAACTCGCTACATGTCAACTTTCCATTTGTCCAGATTTGTGTTATTTACAGAAGTAATATATATATATATATATATATATATATATATATATATATATATTCTTTATATTCTTTTTCTTCTGTTTCAGTTTAATTTTCGTTTTCTTCTGTATAATTTTTGCTTCAATAATCCTATTTTTATTTAATTTATGTTCTCATTTTGGATAGTGGGCTATATATATATATGTGTGTGTGTGTGTGTGAGATTGCCATTCAATTGGTTTCTTAGCATTAATATATATATTGTTATATTGAGGATTAATTCTGGAAAAGCCTGGCAGCGCATGTCAAGAGATGATCAAATTATACTGGAAATTCTGCCCATGATTTGATTTGTGCAGCAATTAACAACCTAACCAGCAATGGAAGCAAAGATAGACAAGTTGTCCGAATAAATTGGGGAGTTGATTTTATGTATATTTTTCTTCTTAACTATTTTGGGTAGAATCAAAATGATAAACTCAACTCAACATATGGCACCAAGAATAGGGACCTCTTTTAAACTCAATTACACACGCACAAATATATTTATATAAGTATATATATAGAAATAGACAATTAACGGAGGAAGAATTTGCTAAATTCAATTCTCCCTTGCCTACAGCTAGCAGTCCTCTCTCTAAATATATGTATGTATAAAAATACATAGCTTCTTCTTCCTCCACGCAAAAAATGTTCATTAATTAATTAGCACTGCAACAGGATTTTGCAATGACAGAGTGCAACATGTTGTTTTCCAAGTTTTCAATTTTGATCGCACTCTTCATTCTTTCCTGTCTCTCCCAAACACCGGCTTTCGCGGCCAAAAAGGTAAGGCATTGTGTTGATTAATGTTTCTTCCTAACAGTGGAAATTGAATTCGATCCCTTAGGGACTTATTGTTTTGACAAATTACAAAAGTCAACTTCGGCCACCATTTTTGAGTTTAGTTTTACCTTTCGATAGACTAATGGTGTCTCTTGTTTGTTCCTTTTATCTTGCTCTTTCTTTGTTGGGTTCTGAAATAGTCCTACATCGTGTACCTGGGAGCACATTCACATGGCCAAAAAATTACGAAGGCTGATTTTCGTAAGGTGTCAAATTCTCATTACGAGTTTCTTGGATCATTCTTGGGATGGTATGGAATTTAATGCAATCGTGATTTGAACACTAATTAATCTTCCTATTTTTCATTCTTCTGCAATGTTATTGCTAATTAAGCTCTTTCTTTTGCTGAATGACTCGCAGTAAAAAGAAAGCTAAAGACGCCATATTTTACTCGTATAAGAGACACATCAATGGTTTTGCTGCAATGATTGATGAGAAGAATGCCGCCGAAATTGCAAGTACAACATCTAGCTTGCACATAATTCTTGTTTTGTGTTTCCTTAATATATGTTTTCTATTTTTCGTGTACTAATACGAGATTAATTTACAACAATTCAGAGCACCCGAAGGTTGTGTCTGTTTTCTTGAGTAAGCAGAGAAAACTACAGACAACCCATTCATGGAATTTTCTTTCGCTGGAAAATAGTAACGATGTTGTAGATTCAAGTTCCTTGTGGAAGAAGGCTAGGTTTGGAGAAGATATTATTATTGCAAATATTGACTCAGGTAACCTCAACCCTTTTTCTCATTCAAACACACTTCAATTGTGTTTCATATATCCTTTTAATCTTGAAGTTAGGCACCGTTTTATTGTTTGTCATGACTTTGCTAGGCGTATGGGCGGAATCAGAGAGTTTCAGTGACAAAGGGTATGGGCCCATTCCATCGAAGTGGAGAGGAATATGTCAAAATAACACACGTGACGGATTCCCTTGCAATCGGTGTGCTCTATTTTCACTTGAACCACCATCAGAATTATAATATCATAATATGGTTACGATGATTACACCAGCTTGCAAGTAGTAAAGAACTTAATTTTATTTTCTTGTCCCTTCATTAAGTATTCAAAACTGAAATTATGATGTCACTTTATAAGAGAAGATAATAATTGCCATGTGTTACAAGTAAAAATTTGTCCTACATCGGATTTGGATGAGGGTTGATGTGTATATAAATGGGTGGGTATGCAGTACTATCCAATAGTTCGAAATTTTAAGTAAATGGGCAAGCGCCCACCCGTTACAGCTGGTATCATAGTCAGACCCAATTCTCAATCCGGTGTCACGCCAAGCGCCCGGCCTGGAAGGCGTCCTCCGGTCGAGGGCTGTTGCACAGGTTCGGGTGAATGGGGGTTGATGTGTGTGTAAATAGGTGGGTGTGTAGCATTACCCAAAGCACTGACCCTTTACATTATGCCATAAAGCAATTTGATATCTCAACTTCCCTAATTTTACTTTTGGCAAATATATTGGATCTGCAGGAAACTTATAGGAGCTAGGTACTTTTACAAAGGATATGCTGCTATATACAATATTTCTGAGCCTTCAGCAACAATTAAAGAATTCTCTGCGCGTGACTATGATGGGCATGGAACTCACACACTATCAACGGCTGGTGGGAACTTTGTTCCTGGCGTAAGTGTGTTTGGGCTGGGGAATGGAAGTGCCAAAGGTGGTTCACCTAGAGCTCGAGTGGCATCTTACAAAGTAAATTGGCCAAAGATGATATTGAGGGATTGCGATGATGCTGATATACTGCAAGCCTTCGATCATGCCATACATGATGGCGTTGATGTGCTTTCAGTATCCCAAGGTTTTGAACCTCGTGACTTCTTCGACGACAGCATTTCAATAGGGGCGTTCCATGCTGTTAAGCATGGTATAATAGTGGTAGCCGGAGCTGGGAATGAGGGACCAAAATATGGCACTGTTACAAATCTTGCACCTTGGATAATAACTGTTGGAGCAAGCACCACAGATCGTGATTTGGCTTCTTATGTTCAACTTCATAATGGACTACGCCTCAAGGTACGAACGAGGTTCAATTAATTAGTCCAGAATCTATAAGATATATATATATATATATATATATTTTTTTTTTTATTTTTTATTTTTTATTTTTATTTTTATCCCTCACTTACATGTATTTCTTCTATTTGTTTGACATTGTACGTATTATTTGTTCTGTTATATTTAAAATTAATTAGGGAAAAGGTACCACCAAACCATTGCCAGAAGACAGATTCTACCCACTTATTACTGGTGCACAAGCTAAAGTTGACAATGCATCTGCTTCAGACGCGTAAGAATAATATATATTCTTCAAATCTTGCAGTAATTAATTTCTAACTTTGTACAATGCACACATAGCATGTGCCTTAATTTTGTATACGTTGTGTAGTTTACTCTGCAAAGGAGGAACGCTCGACCCCCAGAAGGTAAATGGTAAGATCTTGGTCTGTCTTCTAGGGGATAATGAAAGAATTGAGAAAGGACAACATGCTAATTTGGCTGGTGCCTTGGGGATGATTCTTTGCAACGATGAGGGTAACGGTACTACGATTAAAAACGAGGTTCATGTTCTCACAGCATCACATATCACTTACACAGATGGCCTTGCTGTTTTGGACTACATCAACTCTACTAAGTAAGTATTTATTTATTTCTTTATTTTTTTCAGAATGAGTTGTTTTTATAAAATTAAAAATAAGAGTTAATAGTACAAAATACAATAGAGATGCATACCCCTGTTTACAAAAAGCAAGAAATGGAGCTAATCCACTTCAAAACTTACTAACAACCAGTTAAGCTTCATTACACCACATCAAAAAGAGCTAGTATATCAGCAAGTCCAATAGAGAACTCCCGATGCCGCCAGGGGGCACCGGACACCACGCGACGTGTGGTGCTCTTCCAGTCGCTGGACCCTACCTCCTGCTGAGCCGAAGTGTAAAACTTCCCAAACCAACGTCAAAAAGAGCTAGTATATCATTTGCGGCAACAACGGGGAAACTTTAGTATCACAATGCAATGCTGAATTTCTCTCCAATCAGATCTTCCAAACAAACACAACAAATAACCCTTTCAACAACTTGGACTTAAAATCCTTAGGCTGTGTAATCTGAAACATCCACTCCACAAACAAATTAAGCTCTTGAAACCTTTTATCAGGAATATTCAACCAATGAACAACCTGCTGCCAGATTTCAATAGCATACACACAGGTACAGAATAAATGATTATTAGTGTATTCAGCCTGAAAACAATTATGACATACTGATGGTCCAAGGAAACCCCTTATCTGTAAATTAACAAATGACAGGTTTTTATTATGCATGATAATTGCAATCATCTTCCACATTTAATTTATATATTAATTTTTAGTAGTTTAATTTCATACACTCGATCATTAACAAATTAAATTTCATCAGTTCTCCACTGGCTATGATTAAGCCAATGTCAGAGCTGCCTGCAAAGCCTGCTCCGGCCGTGACTTCTTTCTCCTCTATGGGTCCAAACACTGTAACACCAGAAATCCTCAAGGTTTGGGCAATGAATTAAGTACCCATTAGAATATTAGTTGTCTGTATTTTTCAATTAATTTAACATTTTTGTAATTAACTAACTAATTTCCATTTTTGATCCAATTTATATATTCAGCCTGATATTACTGCACCAGGAGTAAATATCATAGCTGCCTACAGTGAAGCTATCAGCCCTACAGAGAGAGATTACGATAAGCGCAGGACACCCTATCTCTCTTTGTCTGGAACATCAATGTCTACTCCTCATGTTGCCGGAATTGTCGGTCTTCTGAAGGCAGCTCACCCTGATTGGAGTCCTGCTGCCATTAGATCTGCAATCATGACTACCGGTAATACTTCAATAATGAATTGTACTAATAATATTAGTTATTAGTAATTGGAGCACATTTATGTTAAAATTTGCTCTGTTTGATCATTCTGTGTTTAGCAAGAACAAGAGATAATACTCGCCATCCAATGCTAATTGGATTTAAGAACGGATCCTTTGCTAAGGCAACACCGTTCGCTTATGGTGCTGGGCATATACGGCCAAGCCTTTCTGCAGATCCTGGCTTGGTCTATGACTTAGAAGTTAAGGATTACGATGGCTTCCTTTGTGCAATTGGCTATAACAAAACTTTTATTGAACTCTTTTCTAAGAATTACGAATGTCCCAAGTCTACCAATCCTCTTAGTATTTTAAACCTGAACTATCCTTCAATAACTGTCCCTAAACTCTCCGGCTCAGTCATCGTGAGTCGAACAGTGAAGAATGTTGGCCCACCGAGCACCTACAAAGCTCGTGTTCGTCCACCACCGGGAATTTCAGTTAGTGTTCAGCCCAATGTTCTGAAATTTGAGACTACTGGTGAAATGAAGACATTTAACTTGACTCTGAAAGCTAAGAGAAGTGGTGTTTCCAAAGGCTATGCATTTGGTGAGTTATTATGGTCGGATGGTGTACATAATGTGAGGAGTCCAATCACAGTTGCTAAAGCCGCCACACCATGAATCGGATTTGAATGATACAATCACAGTTGCGATGGCCGCCCTTCAATATCATTTTCTGTACAGGGATAAAGTTGTGTAATTTGTTTATTCACTTCAAAAGAGTTGTAAATTTGGCCATGTGGAAGTAATTAACATAACAGTGCTTTTATAGGAAAATTAGTCAATACTTATACACCCTTGCCTTTGCTCTATTTTGTAAAAATTGCACCAGCAAAACAAAGAATGATTAGTGTGAAAAAAAATAAAAAAACTTGAATAAAAAATGATTATTGTGAAAAAAAATACCTTAAATAAAAACCAATAAACAGGAATTGCTATATGTTAAAGTTGATACAAGGGTAGGCTAAGGAATTCATCCCTACTCTAGTTAGGACGGATTCAGGATTTCTGAATAGGGTGACCTAATTTTGGATTAGGCTAATTTTAGGTTGGGGTGGGCTAATATTACATTTTTTTATTTTTTATTTTTATTTATTTATTTATTTATTTATTTATTTTCAGCCCACCTCTGCCCACCCCTCCCTCCGCCCTTGACTCTAGCTACCTGGATATGTTGTAACGAGTATGAACAACAATGCTGCAGATCTTCGAGCTACTTGTTAAGAGTAGTGACATGAGTAGCTTTAAAGTGGAAGCAAAACTCGAACCCCAAATATTCTTGTAGAAATCGGATTAAAAAGATAAAAACAAAAACAAAAACAAAAAAAAAACTGTGTTTAAATTCCTTATCTAGAGAGAGAGTGTTATACCCTTGGGGAATTGGTAGATTTCCAACTATGACAACACTCTAGTCTCCTTGTCCCAACTCTCCTCTTTGATGGTTTCCCCAAATGCTTCAATCCTATAGCCTCCTCTTCAAAACCACAAGCTATAAACTATACTAGTTATTAGTGCTTATAATGAGATTGCAAGTTTAATTTTACACCGACAGTATAGTATGAAATCTTGATATAATTTAATCACACTCATATTTAATCATAATTAAAAAAAAAATCACAAAAACCCAAGTTTAATCCACCGATAATCGAACATGGTGAACCCACGTTCTAAAATAATTCTTTCTAAATTAGCTCATGCCTTATCCACAGTCCCAGCTTCAACTCGCGCCACTCGTCTGCCACCTGGCATCTCAATTAAAGACTCTCTCTCTCTAAACGGTTAAATCCTTCCCAAGAGATAGTCTTGGACATACTCTCTCGACTCTCTGTGAAATCTCTTCTCCTATTTTGGAACATGCAGAGACAACCATATTACATGTCCGACCCTCAATTCGTCCAAACATACCTGTTTACACTCTTATTTCTCCCAGTGGAAAAACCAGAAAAGAGATTTTTAGTCAAAGCCAGGTTCTGTCACGTGAAAGAATTTGGGTCAAGCCGAATTTTTAATGAGTAAGAGTTTTGCTCAAGGAAGATTCACGGTAAAGTCTAATTAGAGGTAGTTTGGTCATATTAAGCTACTCTAATTTAATTTAGGCATGTAAGGAATATGGTTTGGTAAAAGAACGTGTCAATTATTGGATTATTAGACATGGAATTCGTGTGCCTAAAAACATGGAAGTTGGTTTCTTCAAAAGCCATGATACAACAGAAGAGTTTTTAACGTGGACCACTACCACCACCATCAGGAGTAATGACCATTATTCAGACAAAAAGAATCGTGCGATTTGTTTTTTATGACAACATCAAAGGGCACGATTGCATGATTTATTGTATGTTTGGAACGCTGGAGCTCTAGAGGCATCGAAAGGCACGATTGCATGAGTGATGGCATGTTTGGAACGTGGAAGTTCCAGAAAATCAAAACACGGTTCCAAGATGTTTGGAACGTGGGAGTTCTAGAAGCATCAAGGCATGATCACTTGATGGCACGATTACATGGGAGCTCCAGACATGATTACATGATTGGAACGTGGAAGAGGAACATGAAAGAGGAACGTGAAAGCTCTAGAAGAATTAGGAAGACACGATTGCATGGCTTGGACACTTGGAAGCATTTGGAGACATCAATGGAATTGCTCAGAACTATTATGTTAACTGCTTATATTTTCATTTTATAAATAGGTCATTATGTTGTAACGTAGTAGGCCTGCTTAACGCCAAACAGCTACGTATTTCAATACAATCTTCATTTTTTGCAATGCACTTTCAATATGATTAGTCTTAGTTGTGATGTTTCTGTTTTTAACTATTTTCCATTTTTGGGAATTTTCTGATTTTTCAAGGGCATTTTTGTTTTTTCTCATTTTACGTACCGGACACCGTGAGTCCAAGAGTTGATTGGAGCATTTCATTGAGTTTAGGACTCTTTGAAATGCAAGGGTTATCATTTCAACATTTTTTTTAGTTTTTCGGATCGGACAGTCTCGGGTGAAACCGTTACCAGAGTTGTTGTGTAAGGGAGTTGTGTCTCGGGTTATTTGTATACCATGCATTATTATATTTGTGCCTAAGTAAATTATTTAAGTGCTAAAGTGTGTTGCTATGATATAATTGAAGCATATATATATATATTGGTGGTAGAAATTAAAAAGAAAAGAAAAGAAAAAAAAAAATATTTTTAAGTGGGGCCCACCATCTACTTTAATTTTGAGGCCAAGAGATCACATTGGTCTCATTCTCTCTCACTCTCCCAGCAATCTCTCTCTTTCTTTCTTTTCTTGCCTTTTTTCTTTTTCTTTTCTTCTAAACTTCAATCTTTGATTTCTTTCTTAATTTTGAGAATTTTTGGGTGCCGTTTGCGGCAAATCGAAGAGCTTTTTGAGACCTACGCTTGGATAGGAGCAATTCACCATTTTGGCCATATTTGAATTTTTGAAATTAGGGCTTTGATTTGGAGTTTTGGGGGTTTTCATCTCCATTGAGGTAGGGATCTCTAATACATGGTTCTTCTTATGCTTTTGTGAATTTAATTCTTATAAATTGTTGAATTGCATGTTTAATTAGTATAAATTCTTGAAAATTGTTTAAATGCCATGTATGAATTTGTGACAAGGTGTTATTTGATATATTGTGCTTAAACATGCTTATGTGAAATGAAATTTTGTGATTTATATGCTTGATATGTTAGAGAAATGTGAAATGAAAGCATAAGTTGTGTATTTTAGTTATTTAATTATAAAAGCATATGTAAACTCTTATGATGGAATTGATGAATTGAAGCATGAAGCATTCATGCATTCATTGGGAAAGAAAAAAAAAAAAAGAAAAAAAAAAGGGAAAAAGTGTTTTAAAACAAACGAAAGTGTTTTGGGAAAATATTTTCTAAAGGTGTTTGCGAAAACCGGACGCCTAGGAGGTGCCTAGTGGTCCGTGATGTTAGTGTAGTCTAGAAGGGAGCGTGGTTGAACTAACTAGGCCGGATGTGACGCTTTGGAGGTGCCTTATGGTCGTGGATAGTTAGTTTATCCTCCGACGCCTTGGAGGTGTCTTGGGTCGAATTACACTAACGATTTGGATGATGAAACGAAAATGTTTCAGATATGGGGAGCGATATTTGTATGACATTGCACTTCATTAAAATATATGGTGTATATGTTTGGGTGACAATTGTTATATACTTGTCGTTGTAGTTGTTGTCATGCACCCCTTATATTATAATCCCGTTTTCTTTTACCCATTCCTTACGTGGATTCACGGGGTCATAAGAAGTGTGTCTTAGACACTTCCTACTGAGCGTTTAGCTCATCCCATTGTTTTAACATTTTCAGGTTCGGGAAAAGAAGTGGCGGACGTCAATCCACCCCAGCCTTAGTTTGGAGTAGAAAAATGTTTCTTCTTGCTATCTTTTGTAATTGGGCATAATTTTGTAAAGTGTTGACTCAAAATGTAGTATTTTGCAACATGTAAAGTATTCAAATTTATTTTGTGTATGGCCATTGAGGAAATATAATTAAGTTAACTACACTTAATCCTTTAGTGTATTTTATGTAACGTGTGCAAATTATGTTAACAATGTGGTTGTTGTTATTGTATTAGATGTTTGAAATGTATTTAAATCTGTACGTGAGTGTAATGGTATAGGTGGTTGGTTATCAAAGTTGGTGTATCTCGGTTTTCTTTGGACAGTGAGCAATTGAGTGTGGATAACCCAAAACCAGTCGACGTGAAATGCCATACGTCGACCGAATGACCTGAACCAGTAGACGTGTAGCACCCTACACGTCGACCGGTATCTTGGTAGTGAGCATTTCCACAGTAGAAGTTTTTAACGAGTCGATGTGTAGTGCAATTGAGTGTGGATAACCCAAAACCAGTCAACATGAAATACCATACGTCAACCGAATGACCTGAACCAGTCAACGTGTAGCATCCCACACGTCGATCAGTATCTTGGCAGTGAACATTTCCACTGTACAAGTCTTTAACCAGTCGATGTGTAGCCTTCCATACATCGACCGGTATCCTGGCAGTGAGCATTTCCACTGTACAAGTCTTTAACCAGTCGACGTATTTTTCCATTTTGCCCTTGACCACTCACTTAAGGGTATTGTTACACATTATAAAGTCCAGTAAAATACAAAAATTATATTTTACCCATGGGAATGACTATATTGCCTCAGACTTATTCTTAATTATTATGTGATACAAGTAAATGACTATTTTGCCATTTGAGTCTTAGACCATTAGAATTGTGACAAATGACCATCTTGTCCTTGTTGGACTTTAGTATACAAATTTAACTTGAAATGACCATATTACCCTTGGACGATTTTAGGTCAGGTAGGGACCCGTTTAATGATCCGAATCCAGTGGATTTGGGTCGTTACAAATTTGGTATTAGAGCTTTAGGTTCGAAAACCTAAGGACGACGGGTAGGGTTGACCTAAGTGAGACTTGAGTTGATTTGAAAGTTTAGACTGTTAAAGTGTTTAATGTTTTGAGAAACATGCTTATTTGCTATTTGTTTATATGTTTCAGTTTTGAAGGCATGCCTATTTGCTAATTACTTATGTGATTAATGTTAAATGTTGTATTACATGGCCATGCATATGAAGTAGTTATATAATTTAATTATGAAAATGAAATGTAAATGTATTTGAAAGCATGTTATATGTGATAAGATGACAAGTAATGGGGAGTATGGTGACGAAAAGTGGTAGGTACGGTGTGTGCAATTTTAATTTAAATGTTAAAGTAGCAACTGGTGAGCACGGTATGTGCAAGCGTGTTTGTATGGTATTGTGACGATTATTTAGGTATGGTTTATGTAATTATTTTCTTATGGAAGATGGAGTGTTTAAATTTTTTTATGAAGGAACATGATTGTATCATGGTATGGGATATGATATTTACATGTATATGTATTCTTATATGTATATGCAGTCGAGCATGGGATGGTTGTGTAAGCTTTGACCTGAGTAGGTGAGGAGCTCGATCGCTCCAAGATTGTTGGGTGCTAGTTCTTATCGAATGGATTGCTTGGTCTTTTAGCTCGTGGATTGAGCTATCCAGTGTGGGGTCCTCCTGATTTTCTTGTTCCATTTGCACAGTGCTTAAAGCACGACTTCAAAATGGGTTTGTATTTCATGGCACGGTGACTATGTTGTGGTGAGTTTCATGCGTCGGTGTATGGGTTCTTGTGACCGTGGAGGTTAGGTG